CATATAATATTGGTTTGTAAGATTTTTAAAGAAACCATGGATTAAAGTTTATTTTATTATTACTTTTATTTTATGAATGGATGAATTATGTAATTTGATAATATGCTTTATGTAATAATCTGTCATATAAAATAAATGATGCATAACTTAATGATAACATATGCATAATAATTATTATAATTTTTACTATCTATTATGATAATTATTGTTGTAATTATCAGGTTATTCTCGAAAATAATTAATAATTGTTACGATTTTTAAAATCTAGACTAATAATTATAATAATTTTTTTTTATAATTAAAATTCAAACAAATAATCAAGATAATTTTCTAAAAGAACTGATTAAAAATTTTACCGAGTAAATTATGCGTCCATTAAAATGATCATGTGTAAACACATGTTGCTTATCACGGTCATTGTAATACGATTTGCCTATTATGATCATGTGTTATACATGTTGTCTATCGTGATCGGATATCACATCCATTAAACATGATGATTTCAAATTTTGGTAAGTGTAGCATTGTGTGATTATCGACTATCGTTTACTTAGATAATTTTGAAATTAAAGAAAGATTGCTTTCAATCAACAATTCTAGGAAATTAAAAAATTTCTTATTTATTCTACCAAAAAAGTATTCTTATTTAAAATATAGGTAAATTATATACAACCACCTCCTAAAAAACACACCCAGTAGTTTCAATTCACTCAATTAAACCCCTTCAACTTTCAAATCGTAACGATTAAGCATATTTATTAATTTGAAGACCAAAATATCCTCATCCTCAACTTATCGTTCACCATTGTTCCTGTTGACCTTCGGCCATTGCCAGGCATCACCTGCCTGTACCGCTGCCCCACAAAAATCCATCTTTCCTAATTTTTCGTTCTTGCCAAGCTTCAGTTTCCCTCACCAAAAACATATCCAAAAAAATGTTAATCCTAACGTGTCATATTGCCAAAAAATTTTTGAAAGAGATTGAAACCAAATTATCTTTGAAGTTGTTTTTCTTTCTCTTTATTGAATAGGATTTTCAACTGGGTATTGTGTTATGTACTTCAGAAAAAAATTCACTACATACGTTGAGATAACCAAAACGCATACAGGGGGGACAAAAAATGTTGGATGGGGATGCCAGATCTGAACAAGGACGAACACATGGGAATGACCTATCCGCAACAGAAAATATTGTCACACAATTCCCACAAATCATCATTAAACAACAAAAATCCACCCCCATAAGGCGGTGGCCAAAAATGGGTGGTGGCGGAGGGTGGTTGTTAGTGGGCGGCGATGGTACAAGGGAAAGGTAACCGATAGTTAGACCCTCTGAAGCACGGACACGCCATTGGCCAAAAATGCGTGTCCGACACGGACACGTTCGGACACGCGGTCAACTTTTTAGGACACGTTGACTACGCGAGTTTGACCGAATCCGACACGCGGTCAACGTATTTAGACACGTTTTGGTATTTTTTTTTGTAAAAATAAAATAAAAAATAAAAAAATAAAAAATATTTAATAAAATTTAAAAAATCTGGAACCCTTTCTTTTTCGCTGGAGGAGGCTGCTAGTCGGTCGTCGGTCGTCGCCGGTCATCTTCAATCAGGGTGGCATCGCATCATCACTAAGTTCTCATTTTTTTCTCTTCTCTTCCTCCATTAACGACTTTAAACTCTGCCCTTTCTTTACCTGCACCTGAGTTTTTTCTTTTTCTTCTTTTTGTTCTTTGTGTGCATTCTTCTCTTCTTTTTCCTTTTCTTCAAGAATATCATCTTCGCATCTCTCTGAATAAATTTTTTGCTGGAGCAGACCTACAACGCATGAGCAATAAACCATTTGGAAAACACAGTTTTCGATGCTTCCTTATCCTTTTTTTTTTTTGGTAATCGTCCTTATCCTTTCTTTTCTTTTTTTGGTGAAGGTCGTCCTTATCCTTTCTATCTACTGCATCTCCTAGTTGTGTTTACTTTAGTTTTATTTATTTATTTTTCTTTTTTTAGTTTTTGTTTTTTGTGGATTTGTAACTCTTCAATCATTATAATAATTTTTCTGTTTTTCTATACTCTATACTCTTGAGATGTTCTATTTTTTTTTTTTAATATTTACGTTATGAAATTTGAATATTTGATTAGTATATGAGTTATTATGAGTTGCTATATGTAATTATATTACATATATTAAAAATTTATTTAATATCAAAATGTGTCCCAACGTGTCCAAATATGATATTTTTTAGAATTAACGTGTTAGCGTGTCGTGTCGTGTCGTGTCCCGTGTCCGTGTCCGTGTCCGTGTCCGTGCATCATAAGTTAGACCTGTCAAAACGGGCCAGCCCTACAACCCTACTTTTCAGCCCCATTTTATTTCAGCCCATATTTCATAAAGCCATTTTTGACCCTGGCCCCAATACCTCTCATATCTTTTGGGTTGGGATGAGGTTAACAACGGGGCAGCCCAATGTTTATTTTCTAAATTCTAATTCCCAATTTTCTCTGGTTTGCTCCATGTCGTTCCAATTTCTTCCTCTTCGCAGACAATAGCTCTTGTAATTTCTTCCTCTTGCTCCATGTCGTTCCCACCCCTTGAGCTAGCTTTTGGGGTGGTGTATCCCAAGGTTCTTTATTGCCTTCTTCTCTTCAAGAAGATTCGAATGAAGTGACCCCACATGTCCCTGATCATCCATCACGAAGTTCTGTACTTGAAGCACAGCCCGACGCCAGGGGGAGTTCTACGCGTGGTGCAACAGAGTGCAGTTCTGAGCACCTTGAGCATTCTCCATCACCTCCTGATCCCATGCAAGGGAATCTAAATCCAGCACCTACTCTAGTACATAGAACTGAAGAGCCCAGTTGTGATTTGGGGCCCCGAAGTGAAGAAACAACTCAACCTGAGTCTCATCGTCCAGCACGAACACGACGGACACCATCATACTTGAATGACTACAACTGTAATATGATCACAACACATACACCACCACCTGCTCTCACCTCTTCCACTTCTACCTCAGGTATGCGGTACCCTATTGCAAACTATGTAACCACTAACAAATTTTCTTCAAAACATCGCATGTTTGTTGCTGCTATTGACACAGGAACTGAACCTCGCTCATTTAAAGAAGCTATGGCAAATGTCGAATGGCGTCAAGCCATGGCACAAGAGATCCAAGCCCTAGAAGAAAATCATACATGGGCTATCACCGAGTTACCAGCTGGGAAGCATGCTCTTCCATGTAAATGGGTCTATAAAATTAAATATCACTCAAATGGCAGCGTCGAGCGTTACAAAGCCCGATTAGTAATCGCAGGCAATCACCAAATTCCAGGCGAGGATTTCACTGAGACTTATGCTCCAGTAGCGAAAATGGTGAGTGTTAGAACTTTACTCTCGGTTGCAGCAGCAAAAGGTTGGTATTTACATCAAATGGATGTTCATAACGCGTTCCTTAACGGCGATCTTGATGAAGAAGTGTACATGCGCATCCCAGCTGGCTTTAATCAAGGGCAAGGAAGCAAAGTATGTCGCCTACAAAAGTCCTTATATGGTTTGCGACAGTCTCCCAGAAATTGGTTTGCAAAACTAAGCACTTCTCTTGTCCAATATGGTTTTATTCAATCTGCAGCAGATCACACTTTATTCACTTTGCAGCGTGGTCCTTGTTTCTTAGCCATTTTGATCTACGTTGACGATTTGGTGTTGGCAGGGAATGATTCACAGGCATGTCAAGAGGCTAAAGCTTATCTTAACAAATGCTTCAAAATTAAGGATTTGGGCCAGTTGAAATATTTTTTAGGCATCGAAGTTGCTCGTCATGATGACGGTATTTTCTTGTGTCAACGTAAATACGCGTTGGATATTCTCAAAGAAACTGGTTTGTTGGATTGTAAACCAGTTCAGTTCCCAATTGAACAAAATCATCGTTTGGCTCTAGATGATGGTCCTGCCTATGGTGATCCGGGACGTTATAGACGAATTGTGGGTAAGCTAGTCTATCTTACAATAACTCGGCCTGATTTAAGCTATGCCGTGCATATTCTCTCCCAGTTCTTGCAAGCTCCGAAGGAAGTGCATTATGAAGCTGCTATCAGAGTATTACGATACCTCAAAATGAATCCTGGCCAAGGAATTCTCCTTCCTTCCAAGAGTGATCTCAAAATTCATGCTTTTTGTGACTCCGATTGGGCCAGCTGTTCTTTAACTCGTAGGTCAGTTTCTGGGTTCTTTATTATGCTTGGAAATTCACCTATCTCATGGAAAACAAAGAAGCAGCTCACCATCTCACGCTCCTCGGCAGAAGCTGAATACCGCTCCATGGCAACCACCACGGCTGAATTAGTTTGGTTGAAGTCCTTTCTTGCATCTCTTAATGTTTTTCATGATGATCCAATGGAGTTGTGTTGTGACAATCAAGCGGCTCTACACATTGCAGCCAACCCTGTGTTTCATGAGCGCACCAAACACATTGAAATTGACTGCCACTTTGTCCGGGAACGATTGTTATCCAAGACTATCCGTACTATTTTTGTTCGATCTCAGTTCCAACTTGCGGATATTTTCACAAAGGCACTTGGACGCGCTTCCTTTATGGCTTTCCTTCCCAAGTTAGGCATTTCATATCTTCATGCTCCAACTTGAGGGGGAGTGTTGGAATAGAAGATTCGATCTGATCTGATTGTTATTAGTTGTAGATTGGTTGTTATCTTAGTTTGTTAGGATACCTTTTTCCTTGCTTATTTTGTTATCTGATGTATTCTAGGATAGTAGCATCTTAGCTTTTGCATATATTTAGGAAGTAGTTGCACCCATCAGGAATAGCCGTAGGCCTATTTATTTGTATTCATGTTCACTTCATACGATAGAGAATTAATGGAAACAATTTCCTTTTGTACAATTTATCACATAGGCTATTGCAGTGTTTCTTCCCACCTTCCCATTCAAATTTTGGCGATTTTGTTGCTGCGTTCTGCTGACGTGATTCCTACTCAATATACCGAGTCGAATCGTGTTAACTCGGGGAGTTTCAAAGAGGAACGGAGCAGAGGCTCAAGTGCACCCCGGCGCTTCCAGAAGGTTCGCCTTATCATTCTTCTACCACACTTCATACTGTTAATCAATGCATTGAGTGAAATACTAAAACATGTTAATCATTAATCATCTTCATGCATTGCAATTAGAGTTCTTTTCTTTGTTATTCTCTTTATTTATGTATTTTACATGTTTGATGAAATTCCTGTTCTAGCGTTTCTTCTTATTTTTTGTTAATGTAAAGAATGAAGATGCTCCTTAAGTTTATAGCTGCTGAGATTTTGAAATTTATTTTGATGTTAGTTTTTTTGTTGATTATTCTTTCCCAGGTTGGAGATTTTGGATTATCAAAATCTCCCCCATTTCATTATTTTTAATTTTTATTTTTAATTATGAAAGAGGAGATTCCACCATTTGATTCCCACCTGATATGTTTTGTTCTACCATTTACGTAAGATATTTCGTGCTTTTTATCTTCTTTTGTGAATTTCTTTATTAGTGGATTTTTATCAAAGCTTGTACAATGTTATTTATTTTAAGCTTTTATGTTGTTGGCTCCTTAGCTCTCAGATGCTAAGATACGTTGCACTATAAGATTTTGAAAATGGGATTAAGTGCTACCAGAGTGCACTCAGGGTTGATGCAAGGCACTATAACGCCTGGTATGGACTTGGAATGATATATCTTCACCAAGAGAAGTTTGAGCTCTCTGAACATCATTTTCGTATGGCTTTCCAAATCAACCCACGATCTTCTGTTATATTGTCATACCTTGGAACTGCTTTGCAATCTTTAAAGGTTTATCTCTTGCTGCATTAATTGTAGTAGTACAAATACAAAATAGAACTGCATTAGTCTTTTGCTTGTGTTTTGTATCCAGGGTTATAAAATTTTGCTTCTATGAGTTGTCAAAGAAGTAAGGAAGCGTTGACCATAATGGAGAAGGCTATTTTAGCGGATAAGAAAAGTCCACTTCCCATGTATCAAAAGGCCAACATACTCATTAGCCTGGAAAATTTTGACGAGGCTCTGGAATTCCTGGAAGAGCTTAAGGAATTAAAATTTTTGTAGAATTGTGCATCATTGTAGTGGGCACAGGGGGAATCAAGCCCAATATTTCTACTATGGGTGCAGACCAATTTGATGAGTTTGAGCCTAAAGAGAGATCCCATAAGCTTTCCTTCTTCAATTGGTGGTTCTTTAGCATTTTCTTTGGTACCCTTTTCTCCAACACTTTCTTGGTTTACATACAGGACAAAGTGAGTTGGACCGTTGGATATGCCCTTCCAACCCTTGGGCTTGCTGTTTTAGTATTGGTGTTTCTGCTAAGATCTTCATTTTATAGGCACAAATTGCCTTCAGGTAGCCCTATAACAAGGATCCTTCAGGTACTTGTGGCTGCTGGAAGGAAGTGGAAGGTACATGTCCTAGATGATCCAAAAGAGCTACATGAGCTCAACATGGAAGACTATGCAAGTAACGGGAGAAACAGAATTGATCACAGCTCTGCATTAAGGTTAAAGTCTAATTACTTTTAACCACTTATGTCACTGAAATTTGGCATGAATCATTTTCATTTGCATAAATCTCACTCCCTTTTCTACTTTCAGTTTCCTTGACAAAGCAGCTATCAAGACTGGACAAACTTCATCATGGATGCTTTGTACAGTGACCCAAGTTGAGGAAACCAAGCAAATGATAAAAATGATACCTATTTTGATTACAACAATTATTCCAAGCACCTTGATAGTTCAAGCGAGCACACTCTTCATCAAACAAGGCACCACGCTAAACAGGAGAATGGGACCCCATTTTGAAATCCCTCCTGCATCTCTTACATCATTTATAACTATCTTCATGCTGTTAAGCATTGTACCCTATGATCGGCTTTTTGTTCCTGCTATCCGACGCTACACAAAGAATCCCAGAGGGATCACAATGCTGCAGAGACTTGGAATTGGAATTAAAAATTTATTAGTTTGTTGATGACCACTTTAGAAGACATTAAAACTTCTGGTTGTTGTCATTTCTTTATTTCTTTATTTTTCCTAGGTGACTTGGGAGCTTCTTATTCTTTTCGAACAGGCTGCCATTAAGAAATTGCATATACCCGATGAGTTAGAAGACTACCTCTGAAGTGCAAGATTTGAATATTTGTTCATAATGATTTGCTTTCGGCTAATCGTGTGTAAAAGCATACAAATGCTTGAGGAGTATCCATTGATGGAGCCATGATCTCTAGAAATGACTTGAGTTTTGTAGGATATTGACATGGGTTAAAGCCATAAATTCTTAGTTGTTCACAGTACTTTTGTGTATTATTTTAACTATAAAAATATCCCATTAAAAAGAAAAGGTTTGGCACTCTGGTGAAGGTCCAATCCATGATATTAATTTACAGTAGTTATAATTTGAAAACTAAGATTTTTGGCTCGTGGGGTTATATAATTTTTTGGCTCGTGTGAGATGTTTAATATGTGGGCTTTTTGGTCCTATGGACTTTTTGGCCTTAACCCGTATGAGCTAGGGCCTAACGAGTCGGGCTGGCTCATTTTGATGGCTCTACCGACAGTTTTGTTGATGGATAAGGCTATTTTTGTCTTAAAATTAAAACATATGCTTAATTATTACCATTTAAAAGTGTAAAGGTGTTAATTGATTGAATTGAAACTATAAGGTGATTTTTTTGAATGAACAGTTAATTAGGAGGTGGTTCTATATAATTTACCCTTAAAATATTGAATGAGAGGAATTTTAATTTAAGAAATTATTTTTAACCTCTCCAGACTCGTTATTGATCTATTAATAAAATATTCATGTGAAGATACATGTATAAAGGGGCGTTTGCTACAGGAGAAATTTTTATTTGTCCGAGAATTTTAATTTTTAAAAATATGATTTTTACATTCAGTTTACAATAATATTTGAAAATTTAAAATTTAGAAAAATTCAGTTTCTCAGAAATCCGACCAAATACCGTGTACCAAACGGCCCCTAAATACTATGAATTTCATTGAATTGTACTTGAATAATTTTAAACTAGCGGCTTTGATTACCACCCCCAATCCCCATTCCCAACGGAACTGATTTTTTTTTTTTTTCACAACCAGTTCTGCTCCCCTCCCCGAACGGAACTGGTTTTTCCTTCTCTTATTTTTTTTTTTTTTTTTTGAGTTTTGTGTTGAAAAAAAAAAAAAAAAAAAAAAAACTTGCAACTACTTTCTCTCTCTTTGCAACTCAAGTAACCTGATGCAGTATGTACCTCTTCTATAAATTTTTTGCAGATCCGGACTTGTACATAGAAGCTGGCACCATGTCTCCCTTTGAGCATGGAGAGGTTTTTGTCCTTGATGATGGCAGAGATGAATACCTCTTAAGCATAATGGAATACATATTTTGATGATGACAGAAGGTTTACAAAAAGTTTCAAATTAAGTTGGAGTTTGAAGATACAAGTGATTAGGTATTTTTAGATATTTTGTTACACACAATATTATATCATATAGTATCTTCCTAAGCTCCAATGCATATCATTGCATTTCATACATTTAATTTGAGTTTAAATAATAATGATTAGTTTTGTTTGTTATGGTTAAGATTTAAAATTTAAAACAATTAAATGAGTATTAAAGGTTTAGTTAAAATTAAAAACTAAATCAATTAGATATTTAATATAAATAAAATAAAAAGGACGTTACCTTTTCAATTTGAGTTTAAGGAAAGCTGACGGTAAAGCAATTAAAGTAGCTTTATACAATTGAAATGGAAAAATTCTAATCAGGTCACCATGTCACGTGAAATTAGCTTTATATATAATAGTTTGCTTTATTTTTTTTGGTAACAGTCTTCGCCTCTTGTTATCATCCGTACAAAATTTTCTTTGAAAGCACACTGAGTTCATTACCTTGAAAATAGCGATATTCTTCCTCCAGAGTGCAGAGCACATTTTTCTTTTCTATAACCGATTTGACAATACTCACTCATCTTGATTTCTTGACTATTTTTCATCTTCTGAAAGAAAAATATTAGTTTTGTCAATACACATCGATTTCCTTTCTTTCACTTTATCATTGAAGCACAGCGAAAGAACTTTCCAAGAAATTCATCTTCTTCTCTCTTGCATCTTCGTTTGAAAACTTTGGGTTTTGGAGAAATCTATTTGGGGCAAAAAGTGGTGGACATCAAGTATCTGGCTCAACCGATTTGGATGAAGATTTATTTTTCTGAGAAATAAATCTACATACTTAAAGATCTGTTCGAAGGTGTGGGTATACGAAAGATAAAAATTCAGGTTTGGTAATACATAAGAATTTGGGGCTTCATTTTGGTAAATTCTAATCAACTCATATTCTTGGTTAATATTTCTATTTGAACCCTATATTCTGAAATCTTGAAGAATTTTGGTTAAGCATGTTAAATCTGAATTTCTGGTTTCATTGAGGCATATTGTGTTTAATTCAGATTTTCTTGTGGTTACGTGTTAGAAGATTAATCTAGAATTAATTCTGATTTTATGTGAAATTTTGAGATAAATTTCAAATCTGATTTTTCATGTTATAATTGTGATATTTACTGTTTAAATCAGATTTATTGGTACTCATTGATTAGAAAAAAAATTGTGAAATATCCAAGCTCCTTTGTGCATTAATTTTAGAGATTTTAATACATATGTCATTGGATTAATTTTCTGCATATGGCATAAATTTGTGGAGCTTAGTTTGATATTACTGTGATATATTTGGTGTGATAGGACACTGTAATTTTGGTTTATTTCACTTGTTACAATTCTGAAAATTCTGTATTGATTGTTAAAGTGGAGTAGTTGCGTGCTGTAAATCTGTTGTGGGTGCAACCGAGTGGGTTGGCGATCTTGTGCTTGGCTTGAGAGTGTGTCTCAAGGCTTGGAGCCTCAAGAATCCACTAGGGAGAGTGGAGGTCTTGTGTGAGAGGAGTTGGTGAACTCCTTAGGTTCGGCTTGAGAGTATTCTCTGAGCTTGGAGCAGTGTAGGCACTAGGAAGATTTTTGATATTTTGTTTGATTGCATGTGTGACACGTGTTTGTAAAACTGGTACACTTGTGATAAATAAAATATCTGCAGCTACTTCAGTCTGGACGTAGCACCCTACTTATTAGTGGGTATGAACCAGGATATATCGTGTGCCTCTTGTCTCTCATTTAATTTCTGAATATTTTGTTTAGAGACTGACAGTTACACTAATTCTATTATAATTGCTGCGTTTATACTCTATAATTGCTAAGGTACGCTTTCTATTACTACATTGTTCTTAGCATTGCGAAAAACTATTTTGGGCATATAGGGATTGAAGAAAAATTGTGTAATTGTTTACTGAATTCAAAAAGATTTTGAAAAAGTTGAGAACACCTATTCATCCCCCCTCTAGGTGTTCCGTAAGCGTCCCGTGTAAGAAGCCACTTGCCCAACAAGAGAGGTTTTGTTTCTTTTTTTCTTTTCATATTTATACTTGTGCATGCTTGAATTTCCATATTTCTAGGGGAGGGGGGGAATTGGTTGAAAAAAAAAAGAGTTGCGCTGGGGATGTGAAATGAAGTTATTTTAATGATTTCTCATCAATATGCTCGGTTGTAAAATGAAGTTATTGGAATAGATTGATTTTGCTAGAGCATTCATAACTTGTCATTTGTTAGCGCGCGTGTGCCAAGCAGGAAACACATGACCATGACAAGGAATAACAATTGAAGTATAGAAATTAATATATCTGGGCATAGACTATGTTTAGGATTACAAATTAGTTACCCATTTATAGGTATGTTATACTCTCTCTGTTCATTTTCTTTTATTTATGTCAATTGATACAATCCAAAGTTTGAGAGTTGAAGTTATGAAACTGTCACAATTGTCATTATCTCAGCTTTTTATGTAATAATAAATGACCACGTCTTTTATATAGAGCACCATCTATCATCTACGTTTCTAATCAGGATAATTGAAACAGAACAGATATGAGTTCTAATCATGTTTGACCTCTGGTTTTATGCCCAATAGACACCACCGCAGAGAGAGATAGGACTACAGAAATGAAGTAAAGTTTAAGAACAATTCTTCAATTCTCTTGCAACAAAAATCCAATAGTACACCCATTTAGGCAACTTATCAGCTTGATTCAATCAGTTGAAAAATCAGGCAACAACACACAACACTACTTTTTAATTCCGAAACTGAAATAGCGGATACCCAATTGAAAACATAACAAGTTTATGCTCACTACAAGATGATTGTTCAGCAGGAAAATTATGGAAACTAGTTATGATTCTTATGAATCCTACCTCTCAAATGGATTCTACTTTGAAGCAGAAGCTTTGAAAAAGGCAAACAGTTCATCTCTGGGAGGCAGGCCTTCCTTGATCACAGGGTGATTCACAAACTCTTGACTCCATTTATAGAGTTTGGGAAATTTCTCAATGGTAAACAACTCCAACCCTGCAATTTCTTGTAATATATCAACCCAATACCCAATGAAATTTGCAGCAATATCTACTAATCCTATGGTCTCTCCTCCAAAGAACTTCTTGTTCTGTAGTTCATCTTGCAATATCTTCAAAGCTTCCAAGGCTTCCTCCACAGCTTTCTCACGCCCCTTCTCATCACACCAACAAGCATTCCATATAGGTGGCAAGATCTAAACCAAAAAAATAAACAAATAATTAAAAATTCTACTCTAAATAGAATAAAAACATTGGAAGAACAAAACAAGACACTAACCTTGTCATCAAGGGTCTTTGACCAAAAACGAGCCAAGGCTCTCTCATAAGGGTCTTGTGGCAAAAAGGGGTTGTTTTTCCATGCCTCGTCTATGTATTCAAGAATGACAAGGGACTCAGCTATTGGTTTTCCGTTGTGAACCAGAACTGGGACCTTCTTGTAAACGGGGTTGTAATTGAGAAGGTCAACACTCTTGTTGGCTAGATCTTCCTCCGAGTATTTGTATGGAACTCCTTTGAGTTTCAGAGCAAGATCTATTCTGTTGCTAAATGGGCTTGCCCATTTTCCCAATAGCTTTACTTCTTCATGCTCTGAAGCCATTGTTAGTGGTTGGTTTGAGCTCAAAACTGAACTGTGTAGCAACCTAATGTGATTGTTAGTTTATGAGTTTTGTTTAATATCTTTTGGTCTTTATAGAGCACAAGGATTACTCACAACACCCCCACGAAGTTAGAATTTGGAGTTTGTTTTGTTCCTAGTTGTGATGTTTTCGGTCAACTTTGGGGGGTTGGTGGGTAGGTAGCTTCCTCGAAGCTCGTAATATAATATATCTATAACTGTGTACAAGAAAATGTATTTATATATACATCTATAACTATTATAACATCCTCATTCCTAGAAATAACTCATGAAATGGGAATTTTTTGGATTGCGAGAAAACTTTTTTGGCTTCACTAATCTAATCACTACTCTAGGGGCGTTCGGTACAAGAAAAAAAAAAATTAGTCGAAAATTTCAATTTTCAAAAATATGATTTTTACTTTCAGTTTATGATAATATTCGTAAATTTAAAATTTAGAAAAATTTAATTTTCTGAGATTCTTGAAGAATCCCGCGTACCAAACACCCCATAGTAGTTTCTTAGGTCGGTTTGTCTATTTTTATTTATTTCTGTTTTCATTTTCATTTTTTTTGTAATCATTTCTGTTTTGATTTTTACATGGATTTTAGTTGGTTAACATGGCTTCATATAACATTTTATATATTTAAACTTAAAATAATAAAATAATTTTCAAAATATGATTTGAACCAACATTCATTAATGAGTAAACTATTTTTGGTTGAATAAATAAAAAACTATATTTAAACCATTATATGAAGTTCAAACCGATTTAATCAAGGTAGAACATAAATTTATAATGGGCTTTATTACTGTCAAGTAACAGTGAAATAAAACTCTCTTATGCACTTACATCAATAAGTGAGCTGCTCTCTCTCTCTCAATCTCACCCGGTGGATCCTGCTTTTGATTGAGTGTGAAAGAAAAAAATTATTTTCCTGTTACTTGAGAGCAATAAAATCCATTTATAATTAGGGAGAAATTTTTTTATCACTTGAGTTAATAATTATTGAGTAGCTTACGAAGATTACCTCTCTTTATTAATAGGAATGAATTATATCAAGGCAACATAACTAGGACACTCATTTATTATAAATATAGAGACACTAAGTTCAGGTATGATCATCTTCTCATTAATACTTGAACCCTTGAATAATTATTAATTTGATCGTTGGAGTGCCATGCAAATACTTTACCCAATCTCTCCAAGCTACTCCAAAAGTATAAGTTCCAACCCAAACATCTCCTCAACCAACCAAACATCATGCAGGTAGAGTATGCTCAAACCCGATTCTCGCGTAGCCAACTCAATCATATAATGGGTAATAGTTTTCTTATGTTGTAGAAGATATGTATTATCTTCTACACACTCATTGGTGCAGGTGGGGTCCATTTTTAGGGGAAGAGAGAGAAAAAGTAAAGTGGGACCTATTTTGAGTTTGTGTGTGTAGGAGATAGATTATATTTTATGCAACATAAGAGTAATAAATCCCATCATATAACCCAATAAATGTTGGATGTGTGTGATCCAATCCAATAGTTATGGGACTGATTACTAACATATAAAAAAAACGAGTAAACACCCTTTTTAGTCCTTGTCAATATTTACGAAGTCTTTTTTAGTCCCTGACAATAAAAAAGGACCAAATTGGTCCCTGAAATTACAAAAAAAGGGTCATGTTAGTCCTTAGGTCAACTCCCAAATATGTAGAGTGACCCTTTTCTTGTACTTTCAGAGACCAAAAAAGAACTAAAAAAGGTGTTTACTCTAAAAAAACAGTCAAGTTAGAGACATTCTTGCAAATATTTTATTATCTGATTTACATAAGTGTGTATGTGGCAGCAATTAAATGATTATAATTTTAATCAGACATCAAATGAAGTTCCGGGGTGTGCTCATATGATCATTAGGGACCTAGCTGGAGTAGGCCGTAGGCCTGCCAAGGCAGTGCTTGTGTTAGGGCTCTGGTGCAGCGTTGTTGCGTTTAAGTTAGTTTTTTGTTGTTTAAATTCCCCATATTTCAAAAAAAGAAATTAAGTTTCATTTTACGCATATCAGAAAAAAAATTAAACCTCATAAGCAAAATGTTCAGCATCATTAAATTCCCTTTATTTCGTCTATCTATATATTTTAATCATTTCCTTTTTATTTAATATTTAAGCAAAATGTTTGAGAAGATAATTTTGTGCAAGTAGGTTTTTTCCCTAACTTTATTTAGTTCAGCATCATCTTTTTTTTTTCCTAGCATACTGTATATATATGGAGTATATTTAAAGCATAAGAAACAATCAAATCCTAAAGTAAATTTTTTTTTGGATTAATATTTTTCATGTTATATAGGAGATAAATTTTATCTTCTACACACACATAAAAATATGTGGAATTCATATGGATCCACGTGAGAAGAAAAGATAGAAAAAAAAAATATGAATCTCACACACTTTTATATGTACGTATATCTTTTACAACATAAGAAACAATAAACTCATTTTTTTTGGTATTAATAATTTGTTTTATATGAATGAACATATTTTCTTGTGAAAAATACAAACTTTTTAATTTTGATTGTAATCAATATTATATTCCACAAGGATTTAGAAGAAGAAAATATAAAAAATAATAATAATTAGTGGACGGTTCGAAATGTCCAACCCAATTAATGGAAGCTGGGATGTCAATCTACAGGACGAAGTTAAAGATGTCTGGTATGGAATGGATCAGAATTTTGCAGGTACTGCTGCTCTATAAGGGAGGAATGTGAAGAATTATTAGTGAAATTCCTTTGTATTGGGTAATATAAGTAGGAAAAACTATTCTTACGAGAATAATTTTTCTTTTTACAATCATTCGATAATAATATTATTTTTTTTTGGATAGTAGAATCTATAAATTTGTCTCTATGATATAAAATAATTTTTTTTTAATATAAAATTAATAAAACCCATATAAATAAGGGGAAGTCATAACAATTGAAGGGAGAGTGTTTATAATGGGCCCTGCAAGTATTGGTGGTGAGACAGTGGGCTCAATGACATAGTAGATGGTAGTGGTTATGTGTGTAGAAGTAGAAGAGAGATATAAAATTATAATGGACCTGATGAGGAAGAGCTACCCAAGTGACGAGGCAAGGCCCAACAGTCCGAAACATGTGTATATATATTGCTTATAGATATGATTGTATGTGACTTGTAAAACAATATCAAATTTTTGTGTCGTCGTGCTGTTGATGTCGATTAGGTCATTTGACACAAATCAAGCATACCATTATTATGTTAAGTTAGTTTGAGTTAAATTTTTTTTCTTAATTTAATATAATCTGGCAAAACTTTGATTGGATTAATTTTTATTTTTAAACCTAACCCAATTACAGCTTTATGCAATTTTTAATGTAAAGTTTCTCAACTTGTTAAATGAAATTGGATAAGACTCCTCATTCTTTGTGTGTATGTATGGGTTCAAAACTTCCACTCTGCTAAAGATCCTTTATGCCTTTATTTACCTTTTGTAATAAAAATTAAATTATTACCGTGAGATTGACAAAAATTGACGGTGATTAATTTAATAGTAAGAGTAGTAAAAATTTTCAGTTGTAAGTCTAATCGGTCCCAAAAATCAAATGCATTGATAGTTTGAAAATCACACGCTCTTAATAAATTAGGTATAATTTATTACAAAATGTGTAAGAGCTCAATATCCATTTCACTTTGATATTCAAATTTCAAAAAATAGTAGAAACCACCATTTCTTCTTATTCACCTGTTTCACATCATTGAACCAATGTATTGGCCAAGTTATTCCAACTTACCAAAAATAAAAAAATAAAAAATACCTTATCCAAATGAGCCAATAAATGAGCATCATCAAGTATTTACTCTCTTCACTCAAAACTTCAACCGGAGCCAATGCGAATTAAAACAAGGACTATCCTATACACGTGACTTTGAAAATTAACATATTAAAGAAGAAAAATCAACAAATGGAGAAGCATGAAACTGATACAAATTTTGAGGTTGAAGTTCCCTTTTTCCCTCTAAAGTTTTTCAAATTTTTAGTCCACATGCACCAACCCAGTTGTTGTGTTAGCCTTTGGTAGAAGCCATTGTCTTTTTCCCTTTGCAAAATCTGTTGGAACAACCTCCATTATGATCAAAGAGAACAATGTGTTAGTTTTGAGACTAGGAGAAGCCTTGCAAGGAAAGTCAGAAATTATGTTATTAGGGGTTACTTATCAGATCTCAACTGCAACTCACTTATCATAAACTAATGTCCTTTTCCCTGTGATTTACAACTGATCTTTTTCAATGATACCTGTGCCCTTTCTAGTTTCTAGTCGATTAGATTTCTAATTTTATATTTTAATATAATAATGGTAGCATCAATGTTAAACACCTCGTACAAACTATACACATATTGCGGTAACCTAACGTGACATTTTTGTTTTCAAATCTTTTCTTAAGAAATATATATATTAACATCAACAACACTTTTATACCAAACTAGTTGGAGTCATATATAAGGGAGGATCTTTTGACTTTAGTATAAGATTAAAAAGTATTATTCCTCACTTCAGTCATTGATTTTCGTTCATTTAACTATTATAATGTATTAAGTTATATCTAATAAATTGAATATAATATAATCATCCAATTAATGAAAATCAATTGCTAAAATTATATATATATAAGGTCAGGATCATTTTACACCAGTGTAAGTTACACTCTCAATCTTGACCATTGATCTCATTTATATCTAAGTGCTCTAATTTTTTTAGTAATATAAGTCATTGAATACAAGTGGATTAATGATCAAGATTGAGTGTAAGATTTATAACTCTTAGACTAGTGTAAGAATATCCTGCCATATATATATATATATATATATATATATATATATATATATATATATATATAGAGCTTGTCATTTCTCAAGCTGCTTGAGATAATTTTATCTCTTGCTACTAAATCATAACCGTACAAAGATGAATTAATGGTGATAAAGGAAGAGAGAGAAAAAGGGAATCATAACCATTCAAAGGTGAATTAATTAATATAAGAAAATAAATAAATAAAACGACGTAGTTTTGGGGTAGCCGAATATAACCTTATCTCAAGCTGCTTGAGAAATATTTTTCTCATATATATATATATATATATATATATATGAGATAAGATCAATTTATATTGGTGTAAGAATACTAAGTCTTACATCAAATCTTAACCGTTCATTTTCGTATATCTAACAATTTTTAAAAATTAATAATTAAATAATGAGTGAGACTCAATAAATAACAACCGTTGGATTCACGAAAATCAATAGTTAAAATTTAGTGTAAGACTTACTATTCTTATGCTGATGTAAATTAATCTTGCTATATATATATATATATATATATATTTATATATTTATATATATAGCTTTACTTTTGTCTCCAGCCGCTTTACGTCTAGTAAATAAATTCAAAAAATTATAACCATACAAAAAATGAATAAAAATATTAAATGCGAGAAATTATAATCAATCATGGTATAAAATTTATTATTTAAAAAAAAAAATTTATTATTAGACGTACGACGGACAAAAAAATATTGTACCATATATATAGGATAAATCGAAGTGTTGACACAAAACAATCCACGGGCCCACATGTTTTACTTAATTTTTTGTTTTCCTGTAACAAACATCGATGTGTCAGCAGCGCAAAGATTCTGACCCATGTATATAATTTAATTGTCTCAGTCATGGTCAAATATTCGTCATTTGTTACCATGTTTCAGTGAAAATAAAAAAAATTTAGGATACTTTTTTTTCATTATTCTCATTTTAACTATATATAGAAAAAAAATAATCCCATTTCTTCCATGGTATTATTTTTTTAACCAACTAAGAAAATTTTCATATTTTGAGACAAAAATGTCCTTATACAATATATCAGTATGTGTGTAAAATTAGATAATTTTATCATTTCAATTTAAATTCTCAGCAATATTTTACAATCAATCTAACGTAACATTACCAAACATCTTTTCATAATTTATCACGGAAAAGAAATTTATCACCATATTTTTGAAAATCTATTTTTTTCGATAAAAAAAATATTTCCTCTTGCACTAGCCAGAGCCAAATAACATTATGATTTTGGGGATTTCCCATGTGATGTGCGGTGTACAGAGACGGAAACATCCTTTTATAGGTTATCCTTTGTTACTATCAAACACTGGAGCTTTAATTTTGTGCTGGCAGTGCATATTTTAATAAGTGGGTCGGAAGTGAGAGAAAGAGTGAGGAGATAGAAGAGAGGGAAAAAAAAAAAATCTTCAGAGTGTCACTCTTTTAGTGGAAGATCCACCGGAAAACAAGACCACTTTAAATTTTTCCCAAACACTAACCACAAGAGCCAACAAACCTTCTGATGGGTGAGACGGGAAATAAAATTTTTACCAAACAGCCTTTTACTGTAGAATAATACTACACTCGCATCACTTCAAATTTACAAAATTTTCACTGGAACCATTTAAATTTCTACACACGTTCATCTCAATTTATTATAGGTGTGTCATGAACATTTCTAATTATAGTTTGGCATAAATTCACCACTAGTCTAAAAAAGGTAGCGGTGACTTTATTGAATGAAGGACATATTGGAGCGGAGGCATGACCTTAACGTGCAAAAATAAATGGTAATTTTAAAATGACAGAGTGACTACTAAGACTTGATTTCTCAAATAACTGTGTGCATTATTTAATTGTATGTATATAATATCCAAATTAGTTTTCTTATTTTATGATCCTTTATTTATTATAAATATGGGTTATAGTTTTATATTTTGTATTATTGTATCTTTGAAGCCTCAATTTATAATATTTTTTTATTAAACTTTTTATCTCCTTCCTTCTTGAGTAAACTAAATCCTTTAATTTCAACAAGAGTTCATGTTTGATCTGTCAAAAGGATAATGTGTTTGATTCGTGAGAGTCACAATTTCTAAAGAGAATATGAAAACTATAATGTGTTCGATTCGTGAGAGTCACAATTCTCAGATAGAATGTAGAGACTCAAGCTTGAAACCAGATTAATCAATTCCATTAAGACTTCGGACATAGATTGATATCTAATAAAATAAATATACTATATTACAAATAAATATGTTATTATTTTTTAAGATAAGTTATTCTATTCTACTTACTTTTTTTCTGCCTATTTTTACCTATCACTCTTTAACATTGTTATATCAGAATCTCAAAAAAAAAAAAAAAAAGAAAGATAAAAGTTAATTGAGATTCTAATCTAATAGTGTTTGAAAATGATAAAAAAAAAAGTAAGTAGAATAACCTATTCCTTATTTGTTATTAACCTATAACGAAGCAAATTTTGCTAAGAAGCAAATTTGAAAATTTTGCTAAGAAGCAAATTTGACTTTAACGTTGTAATGAGGAGGAATTTGTGTCTCTTTCACATCAGAAGCTTTGAACAATCTTCAGTAATCATGATTAGCTTCATCCTTCACATATAAGTAAGTAATCAGAGCTAGCCCACAAAATGGTCCACTAATATATCTATCTACCCTTCACTATAAGACATTGTTGACAGCTTATAGAAGGTGCCTTCACCGAACAAATAGAAAGAGTTAGAAACCCAACAACAACATCAGCAGTTGAAGCAATGTGCCCCATTTTTGAGGCTTACAAGTTACAATGCCCTGTAATCAGAACCCATTTTCCATTTTGAGGTTCTGGGTGTCTCAACCTTTTCAAAGTTTGCACTACAGAGATAAACTCTCAGAAGGGTCTTGCTCGAGAAGGACTCAGTTCAATGGCATGGTAATAAACAACTCTGTTTTCTATTCTGCTCCTGATTTTCTTGAAGGGAAAGCTGCAATGGAGGGTGTGGGTTCGATTAAGAAGAATGAAGTTATTGAAGGAAATTGTTTCAACAATGAGACTTTTGCTGATTTGATCGAAGAAAAGAGCAGTTCCAGCTCTGAGCTTATGCCATCTGAGATGAGTCAGAGTAGTGCTGAGGACTCATCTTCTTCACCTTCAATGGGATGGCCTGTTCATGAAATTTCTGCATCTAATTGTACTAGTCCACATGCAGTTGAAGATGCAGATAAAAAGGACTTGGGTAATGAGAATTTTGAGAAACAAGTTTCTGTGTTACCAGGTATTCAAATTCAATGAGTATTTTTATAAACATAATCTGCGTAATTTCTACAATGAAGTGCTCAGGCTGACAATATCAGCATGATTTTGTTCTGTACTTTGATTTTGATTTTGATGCTCAGTGCGAGAGCTTGAGATGATGAAGGAGAGGTTTGCAAAATTGTTACTTGGAGAAGATATGTCAGGTTGTGGAAATGGGGTCCCAACAGCTTTGGCTATATCCAATGCCATAACTAATCTATGTGGTATGCACCCATTGAACAGTACCTATTTTCTTGTTTGGTTGTTGTATTTTTTATAAATCTATGCAAAGGGCCGTAGAGAATTTTAATTACACCGGTAGGACGCTTATACCAAATTTTGATCATTGATTTCCTTGCATCCAAGGCTCAAATATTTAATAAATTAGAGCCGTTAGATATCAAAAGGATCGTCGACCAAGATTGAAAATTTAACTTACACCAATATATATATATATATATATTATAACTTTTCTTATGTATTATTTATTTTTCCTTTATCTGTTATTGTTTTTACATGGGTTTATGGAACCTCACTCATCTTGTTTAAGAGAAAGGTGATATTGATTACAATGTTGCTTCTGAATTTGAATACATTGCCTGATTCTGTAGCTACACTCTTTGGGCAAGTCTGGAGATTGGAACCTTTATCACTAGAGAAGAAAGCAAAGTGGCGAAGAGAGATGGAGTGGCTTCTTTGTGTCAGTGATTATATTGTTGAATTGAAGCCTACTTGGCAAACATTTGCGGACGGAAGCAAGCTAGAGGTACAGATATAACTTCAGAAATAATTTTAATGTGGACTTATGTAGCTGTTTGATGTATGTTTTGGTAACAAATATGTGCTTCTTTTACCCCTCAACCTTTTTGATATAACTCTCATTTAGCATTTGAAATTCTAGATTATAGATGTGTTGAAGTTGAATGTTTTGTGAGATGATCGTCAATGTCTTTCTGTGATAAGGCTTGGTGGTTGTTGTTATTATAGGATCATCCAATGATGCAGGAGAAAAGATCTATTATCCATGCTTTCTTCTTTTTTGATTGATTAACCTTTCTACTAAATAAGGATAGTTAGTTTTGATGCTTAACTCTGTTTATTCTCAAAATGTGAATCAGGTTATGACTTGTAGACCCCGCTCAGATCTTTATGTCAATCTACCAGCTTTGCGAAAATTAGATAACATGCTTCTTGTAAGATTTGACTAAAATTGGTGCACATTAATCCAGTTTCAATAAGTAAAACATTCTAAAATGTTTTTTTTTCTTTCCACAGGAAATACTAGAGAGTTTTGTCAATACAGAGTTCATGTATGTGGACCAAGGGGTTATGGCCCCAGATGCAGATGGTTCATCTTCTTTTAGTAAAGCACTTCAGCGGCAAGAGGAGAAATGGTGGCTTCCTGTACCTCAAGTCCCTCCTTGTGGTCTCCATGAAAATTCAAGAAAGCAGTTGCAACACAAGCGGGATTGCACAAACCAAATATTAAAAGCTGCCATGGCCATTAACAGCATTACTTTAGCTGAAATGGAGATTCCAGATACTTATTTGGAGTCTCTTCCAAAGGTATGGATGTTTCCTCTATTTTTTTTTTCTTAGCTTCCCAACCAGTTCATCCAAAGGCGAGGGCGAGAGCGAGTCTTGAAGCAGTGGTAATATTGTTTCTTGTTATTGGAAGGTCATTGATTCGAACCTTTTTGTAAAATATAAAGGTAAGACTACTTACAATCGACTCTCGTCTTTACCCGAGTCAAGGAGCCTTGTAGACAGGGATTTTCCCTTTACCCATCTTTAACAAATTCCTGAAAAATTCAACTAATCAGGTTCGAGCTGTTAGACCTATATAACTGTGGCTCTCCCAGCAACCATTTTCTTCCCTCTTATGCATAGAACTCGAGACTTCTAATTAATAGAAACAAGTTCTTTATCATTTGAATAATAATTGTTGGTCCTTTATTTCAAATATCATGATATGATGAAATGACATGATCATCAAATTTCTAATCCAACCCTTCTTTCAGACTGCAAGAGCCAGCTTGGGGGATATAATTTATCGACACATTACATCAGACAATTTTTCTCCTGAATGTTTTCTTGCTGACCTTGATTTATCCTCTGAACATCAAGCCTCAGAGGTTGCCAACAGAGTAGAAGCTTCCATTTATATTTGGCATAAAAAGACCAACTCAGCAAAGCCTTCAGGTCGCACTAGATCCAGTTCAAGATCATGGGAAATGTTCAAGGATCTTATTGTTGAGGGAGACAAAAGGGAAATACTTGCTGAGAGAGCAGAAAACCTTCTGCTATCCTTGAAACACCGTTTCCCTGGTCTCCCTCAAACAACCTTAGATATGAGCAAAATCCAATGCAACAAGGTTTGTATATGTCATGTTTATTCTGTAATAATACACGCACGATATCGATTCTTTCCGTAATAACATTCCTATCTTTAAGGCCTTTTTATTTCTTGAGTATCAAGAAGTTTGATCCTACTGATTTGATTTGTCTTCTGTTGTTTAGGATGTTGGAAAGTCCATTCTAGAGAGTTACTCTCGAGTACTAGAGAGTTTGGCATCTAATATTGTTGCACGCATTGATGATGTGCTTTATGTAGATGACTTGACCAAACATTCTGATCAATTCTCGTGTCTCTCAAAAGTTGGTGTAATTACTCACAAGGGTGTTTCAGTTCCATACTCAGTGCCTGTGGAAAGCCCTCCATATAAATCAGCTTTTGGAACAGATATGGAGTCCAATGATTTCACTGAAGAAGATGCTAAGCTCAAGGAACTGGACAGGGCATGGCTAGAGTGAAAGGGTTTTGCTGAGGCATTTATCTACTGCTTTTCTTTAAAGCTTCTTTGTATGTATTTGAAATATGTAGAAGGATTCGCATATTTACTATTCAGAGTGGATAAAATCTTTATATTATAAAGAGGTGCCTCCGTGTATATATATATATTTGAAATTAAGTCAACTCTAATTAGTTCTTTGAGATGAGTTGGTTTCTCTCGATATTCTCACAAACTTCGACTCTTTGAGGGTCATGAGACTAATCCGAAATGGAGATAAAAATATTTAAACTCTTCCTAAAGATAACATATAGAGTTCGAACTAATACCTTTTCATTGTCAATTACTTAGCTCTCTTAGTAGTGACTAAGCTACCGCGGTTTGGTTATAAAATTTATGGTATTATATATGCTAATTGCCACTTGAATCAATGCTAATGATATAGAAAAATAAAAATTGAAATATATTTTTAAAATCTTCCGAGAAAGTACTTCGCATTGGTCAGCGGAAATTACAGGGATGTGTCCAGTAATTTCCATTAGAATATCTTTTCTATTGAGTCATAGTACCCTATGATTCGATCTCTAGAATCCATCTTGTACCATTCAAGTTGGGCCATGTCTACCTGCACTAAATTCATTTTCTTGGATGGATCAATTGTTTCCCTCTTTTGGAAAACTAAATTTTTTTCTCAGGGTTTCCATCATTGTTACCAAAGTATTGATATCAATGCTCTGCTGTTGTTGCTCCTACCAAATCAATTTTAGAAAAGAGATCAGGAAAAATTGGATTTACCAAATACTAGTCTAATTTCAAATAAGGTTCACGCTTAGAATAAAAGTTATTTAAGAAATAAAACATTCAGCTACGTGCATATATGGTGTGAATCCTAGCACCCGCAACTGCAAACGGATACTTTCATACAGTGAATTAGAATAAGTCATGTCTTATAATCAAGTATGTTTGATCAAATGATACGTGGTTATTCAGTAATCTTGAATTCGAGTCCTAAGTATGCAAATATATTAATAAATATGCCGCACTTGTGATCCTGCCTGAAGCAACTAGATTAGTGTTACATGTTCCACATTGGTTGCCTATATAACTAATGTAGGGTTCAAAAGACCTTGGGCATTTTCACCCTTTGAGTTAGCTTTTGGGGTAGTGACTTCAAGGTCCGTAACAATTAGTCAATTAATGGATTCAAAAAAGAAAAAGAATTAAGTCATGTCTTTTGTTGTGAAGTCCTTGCAAATTGATTTATGATAGAGATTTTCCACTACATTTCCATAATCTACTTACTGAAATCCTTGGTTTTGATCACGGATTGAGTCAATTTCTCAAAACAAGTGAAATTTTCATGATTTGTAGTGAAGAGCATTAGAAGTGGATCTTTGTGTGACACAACATTTAGAAAGCAAGAATTCCAATTAGGATTTCGTGATATGGTTTGTTGTAATTTCTTGTCACCAATAAGGGGAGAACCAAAGGTGATGCAGAGTGGACAATTATTTCCTGAACCAATGCCATTTGATAGTGATATAGCGAAGAGAGAAGCAACTGATCCTCCAAGAGCATGTCCAGTAACAATCAATGGAGTGGAACTATTAATCTGCATTAAGATTGATGTATAAGGGTTTACGGGGGAAGAATAATATATGCCCAAAACAAAAAACATGCAGAAATCTACACTTTTCTTAACACAAAATTTACACCCACTATCGCGGTAAGTTTGATGGAAAATTTAAATTCTCCCCCACAATCTTATCCAAACACCTTCAAGTTTATTGGTTATCCGCAAAATTATTTTCTCAAGAACTTAAAAGTATAACGAGCGTTAAAAATAAAAGTTGTTAAAGAAAATGAGTGAAGAAATGAACATTACGTGCTTTCAAAATATAAACATTCACGAACTGTTTGTGTTAGGAGTAGATTAGTTTATCATACAAGAATGAGTTGAAGTCCACAGACCAATTTGCAAAGTCTTACATTTAGCCCTAACTCAGTCAGGTTTTATTTGGAAGGGAAGGAAAGGAAGGAAATCTAAGGGGAAGGGAAGGAAGAGAAGGAAAGGAAATTGGAGGGTATTCTATTCCCTTGTTTGGGAATTAAAAAAATGGTAAGGGAAAATAGTGAAGGGTTAATGACATATTTTTACCATTTTAACCTTTTTTAAAAATTAATATAATTATTACATTTTACAAATTAAATTAAATTTAAAATTTTTAACAAAATTATTTATATACTTTTCACACTACTAAAATAGAATATATTTTTTTATAAAAGTTCTACGTTGCAAACGACGAAAATTTCGTCACAAAATTATTTTTTCGTCGTAATATTTTTCGTCGAAAAGCGACGAAATTTTTTCTCTGATGAAAATTTTCACAAAAATATATTTTCTATCAAAATTTTTGACGAAATTTAGTTTTCGTCAAAAGTTTTGTCGATAATGATTTCCTCCATCAAATATTTTAAACAAAAAAAGAATTTCGTCAAAAATTTTGACGAAATATTTTCCGTTCAAAATTTGGATGGAAATGTATTTTGAAAAACATTTTGAAGCAAAATTGTTGTCAAAATTTTTGAAGGAAATAGTTCATTCGAAACTTTTGACGAAATTTAGATTGTGTAAAGAATTTTGACAGAATATTTTTCCGTCTAAAGCTTTTATCGAAATATTTTTCGTCAAAAATTTTTACGAAAATATTTTCAGTCGAAAATTTTTGACAGAAATGTGTTCCGTTGAAAATTTTGGTGAAAATGTTTTTTTAACAAAAATTTTTACAGAACTTTTTTCCATAGAAAATTTTCGATAGAAATGTGTTTCGTTAAAAATTTCGACGGATATTTTTTTTGTCAAAAAGTTTAATGAAAATGTTTCCGTCGAAAACTTTTGACAAAATTTAAATTCTCTAACGAATTTTGCTGAAAAAAATTTTCTGTCAAAGATTTTTGATGGAAATGTGCTTCATAGAAAATATTGATGAAAATATTTTTCGTCAAAAATTTAGATTCCGTAAAGAATTTTGACAAAAATAATTTTTCGTCAAAATTTTTTAAAGAAATGTTTTTAATCACAAATTTTTGATGAAAATCTTTTTCGTCGAAAATTTTTGCGAAATTTTTTGATGAACATGTTTTTCGTAAAAAATTTTGACGTAATTTTTTTACGTTGAAATTTTTCGATGGAAATATGTTTCGTCAAAATTTTGGACGAAAATATTTTCGTTGAAAGTTTTGACGTAACTTTTTTTCCGTAAAAAATTTGTGAGTGATTGTGGAAAAATATGGTTCCGTCTCTAATTTGGTCTTTAGTTTTGTCGGAAATTTTTTGACGTATATGATTTTCATCAAAAATTTCATCACTATTTTTTGACGAAATATTTTTCGTCGATAAATTCTAACGGTATTTGAGACTTTTCTAATAATTTTACATTTAAAAATGATTCACATTTATGTAGTTTTTACATTTTAATGGTAAGGGTAGATAAGTAATTTTTAATATTTTCCCCCTCAAATTCCCCTAAATTGGGAGAACTTTAATTTTATGAAGAAGGAGGGGTTTGGAGGGTTTATTAAAAATCTCCAATTCCTTCCCCTCTTTTTTATAAACTCCCAAATAAGGGAAGGGCTTACTAAAACCCTTCCTTTCCTTTCCTTCTCCTCCTAAAACCAACTCCCAAACAAAGCCCCTAACTCAGTTAGAGAATAATATAAACCGTAAAAAATGCCCTTACTCAACACTTTAAAGTCTGGATTGAAGTGGTTCTTTATATGGTATCAGAGCTTCAGTATGCCCTCACTCAACACCTTAAGGTTTTGGATTGAAGTTGTTCTTTATATGGTATCAGAGCTTCAATGACCATAAGGTCATCCTCACCTAGGGGTGTTCATGGAGCAGTTCATAACTGGTTTTGACAAAAATCGAACTGAACTGGTTTTAAACGGTTTGGTTTTCAAATCGAACCGATTTTTTTATTATTAAAAAAACCAGTTTTTAATTTTTCAAACCAGTTTATGGTTCATAACAGTTTTGATTTAAAATCGGTTTTAAACTAGCTTTAATTCAAAACTAGTTTTAAATCAAAACCGGTTATCAAGTTCAAAACTGATTTTATAACAAATTCAAAATCGGTTTTTGATGAATTGTTCTATTTGTATATGTAGTCATTTGTTTCTCCAGATTATAAGTAGTTGCCCAACTATTTCTTGCAAGAATCTTCATTGTTTTGGAACTCTCCGGACGAAAGGATTCTTATAGAAATTGCTTCTCGTTGTTTTGAGAATGTTTGATAGAAGAACAGTTGAATTTTTTTAAATTACAAAAAAAATTGCTCTTCGTTCTCTCAAGATTTACGTTACGAAGAGTTTCATTTGAACTGATGAAGGAAGGTATGAGAGCTGCGTATGGCACCACAAAGAGTGGCGTGTGTGTGGCTTCAGATTGCATCTACGATTTCTGCAGGAAACAATGGGAAATTTGTAGAGAGAAACAATTCACTTGACAACAACTTCAATTCTATCACTGGAAGATGATGAATTCACCTTAATTAGAAGAATAAGATGATGACTCATCAAAAAAGAAAAATACAAACATGTTGAAGAAGATTGGAGTTTTATGGAAAAAGATCCATCGATAAGCACATGTGGCCCAAGTATTCTATCACCGCATAAACCTATTAGCCAAAACGGATTTACTTATTTGTTCTTTTATTGTAGAGCAGTTTGGTTATGGATAACCATTATTTTAATGGTTTGGTAAATAACCAGTTTATAAAATAAAATACAGTTTCATATGAAATCGATTTTTAAAATATGGAGCAGTTTGGTTATGGATTGGTTTGGTTTTTTTGGACATTTTAACACCCTTATCCTCACCGCCCCCCACTTGTGGAATTAAATAAGCATAAGGTAAACCAAAAAGAAAAAAAAATTGGGCCTATGCAATATCTACGCTTCAAGCCCAAAGGGCTCTTGCGCAGGAGGGTGTGTTAGAGAATAATATAAATCATTAAAAAGGCACTCATCAAAACCTTAAGGTTTTGGATTTAAGTGGTTCTTTACAGTGGTTGAGCAATTTTTGGCCCTAACCCTCAAAGCGGCTAAAGCATTATTCTAGGACTTTTGAGCAAAACAATTGTCCAGTTAAAGCTGATTGGATAAGTTTTTCCAAACTAAGGCAGCCAAACACGTCACTAATACTGACGGGACTCGTGCTATGTTAGTGCCACGTAGGCAGTCCCATTACCATAAAACTTCGGAAGACTATAACTTTTGATTTGGGTATTCAAATCAGATGATTTTTTTTTATTTCACATAACTTTTCGATATCTACGTAATGACACCTCATTTGACATATTTTATCTCCCCTAAACATAGTTTGAATTTGTAAACATGGTACCACAATTACAAGATCATTTAAATCCAGAAGATCCAGAGTTCTTTCCGAACCAACACCATGAGCTGCCGTATGTGCTATCTTCTGGATTAAAATGCTTTTGTGATTGTGGTACCATTGTTACAAATTCGAACTATATTTTTGGGAGATAAAATATGTCAAATGAGGTGTCATTGCGTAGATCTCGAAAAGTTATGTGAAATCAAAAAAAAAAAAATCATATGATTTGGATACCCTAGTCAAAAGTTATGGCTTTCCAAAATTTTACGGTAGCGGGACTGCCTACGTGGCACTGACATAGCACGAGTCCCGTCAGTATCAATGACATCTTTGACTCCATTAGTTTGGAAAAACTTATTCAATCAGCTTTAACTAGATAAATTCTTTTCCTAAAAGTCTTAGAATGATGGTTTTCCCCCCTCAAAGCCCTATAATTTAGTGGGTTGAGTTAGCTGGCTTGCGAGTCAAACTTTTTTCTTTATCAAAATTTTCATTATTTTATATATACAAAAAAATAAATTTATTATTTCAAATATAAAAAAAATAAATTTAAATATTTATAAATATAAAATAAATTAGAAACATAGCATAAGTAAAAATGAATCTTTCAGCAATGATATGTTTCAACAGAGAATTTCATCTGCGCATCAGTAAAAATGAAATTTTCTATTGACGTCTAAGCATGTTGCATATCCAAATTTGCACTGAAATATATCGTATACAACACACTTTGATAATTTTGTGGATAATAATAAGTTAAATTTTTTTTGTAACAGTAGTAGTTGAAGAAAATTATTTGTTTAGCTTTTAAATATATAGCATATTAAGAGCAATTTGTAACACCCCGTAGTACTCTGGTATGCTATCATTACGTATGATATTAAGCGCAGTTACAATAACAACAATTAAATTAAAATACGGCTAAACTTTTTCGTTTTAAACATTACACATTTCCATTTTAAATCATTACCATATTTAAAACAAACTGAATCTGTAATTATAACACTGTAACATTAAGGAATATTTAAACTTGGCTTAAACGTATCATACATTGCTTTACATAAATGCCAAGTGATCCCCATAAACTAACAATGCTAAATTTACAACTTTACCATGTTCAACACTAAAATTCTTTACGTTTTACTAAACTGGGTTTGATCTATATGACCATAAATTTTTATCTTTTAGTATGTTAAATTAAACCTCTTAAGCTTTCCAACGACATATTATAAGCCTCAATTGGACATGTAAAACTCAAGATACGTCCGACATAAGTCAACTGCTTAAAATGGGATTACCGGAAAGCAGGGCAGCGAACTCAAATTTAAATTCGGAATGTTCCACCGCCCAATTTATTGTAAATTTTTTATAAAAGAAACTAGATTTTTGGGACTTCAATTTGATATATGGTACGCCCCGTTTTGTTAAGGAACGAAGGAGATACGATCGTTCTTAGAGCTTACCAGAAACTGACAGCATTACTGCTAATCTGAGTAGGTCACACCCTCTCGATAGCTGGGGACGAATTCCAACCCAAAATTTTTCCATATTTTAGGACATAAGAGTAGACATTCTAAGTTTTATTTTGGCGCCTCACACAACACATTTGGCAAAGAACTGAGTGAGTTATGATTATCTTAAAATGGAAGTAATCATAGACCCTAAAGAAAATTGGGCAGCATCATTTTTCATTTTCAACCTAATTGACATGGAATGGCAACCAAAGGCCCAATAAACCTAGGTGCACTTACATCTCAAATTATGTATCCATTTGTTGCTTGATTGCCAAGTTTTCCACTTCCTTACTTAGCATACATTCCATTTTACTTCATGCATATCCCGACAACATAAATTACAGGATACGTTCCATTTTCCTTATTATATGTTATTGATCTTATCCTCTACATTAATTACCCTCTTTTTCATGAGGTTATTTCGCTCATTATTTTCTGAAATTATAGGATTACAAGAATCATGGAGAGCATTCCGCTTTCGTTATAGTTCTAGCCAATGACCACCATCAAAGGACCCTGGCCGGATTTCTCCTTAGTTATCATTTCTCTAGTCTTTCCATAGTTTGTTAACGAGTCTGTTGTTGATGTCCAACTATTTCTGAATGCTTTTCTTTGTTATGCCATATTTGTCACATCCAAAACATATGAGGAATAGGCCTACTGTGTAGAATTTATTCCCAGTATTAGATATCACAACTGTAACCATTTTCACCCCCAGTCTCCGATCTTTTTTCATGTAGAGCATTTCTATTTTGTTGCCTAGTAGTTTAATGACTGGTGCTTGTGTATAGGAACTTTTTATTATTAATTATAGTTTTTTTTTTATATAAGTGAGAATTAAACACATAACCTAATACAACATACTCAAATCCCTCACCATTAGACCAAATCTAGTGGCTTCATACGATATTTAATTATTAATTAACGATGCATTAATATTTTATTAGCATATAGTGATCACAAAGAACTTATATTTCTCGGTTTACAAATTTTACAATAAAAACCAGCATGAGATTTATAGTATCCAATTGAAACAACAACACTAGTAAATATTAAGGGTTTAATATTTCTAATTTTTCTAAAGAAATTTTTTTTCCACCAAAACTCACATAAAAGTAAGTGGATTCTGCTCTGTTTTTATCACAATAGAACTCATTCACTTTTATATGTGTATGGCAAAAAAAAAAAATATCTATAGCAAAAGTAAAAATATTTTTCCCAAATATTAAATAACAATAAACTGAAAATAACCAATATAATATTAATTTATTTGGTAAGCATAAACAAGGTCATACACTACTTAAAGAGCAATCGAAAGTCCACTTATTCGAGTTCAATCTTAGGTGATATTTGTTACACATGTGAGAATGAGACGTAACACAATATATGAAAACATAAAATAGGATTAAAAAATGATAAATTTTAGTTTAACTAAAAGAAATGAAACTAAAGATAACAAAATAGAACGTTTTATTCTATAATGATTTTTCAATCATGAACACAAATTTGATTTAGCTGATTTATTCTGTTTGATAAATTTAGACTTTTGAAAACCCGTAATTTCAATTTTTAAAAAAGTAATAAAGAGAAGGAACATCTAGAAGGATAAAAAAAAAAAAAATTGTCTTGGTTAGACAAGATAACCTGATCCATTGATTAACATAATGTGAATAATGGCAACAGCTAGAAGGATCAACAAAAACATATCTTGGCAAACTTGGTCGGTCAATAGAAGGAACCGTATTGGTTCATATTAGATTTTTATAGCAAAGTGGTGCAAAAGACACTCACCTTTTGTCCCAGTGCTAGCTCCATTAATTTGAGAGGGGTGACTGTACCAAGCACATTTTGTATGCAAGTTAGACTATAAAATCCCATTAGAGTCATAATGTTGTTACATTGTGAGATAACTAGTTCACTGATTGGGAAATGGAGGCTTATACTAAGTTCTTAACCCTTTTTGTGCTACTAGTATTTGTTAGCATTTCAGAGATTCATAGAGTGAATGCTGCAGGAGAATGTGGGAAATCTACCACTCCAGATAATGAAGCACTGAAGCTTGCTCCATGTGCCACTGCAGCACAAGATGAAAATGCTAGTGTTTCTCAGAGTTGCTGTGCTCAGGTTCAGAAACTTGGCAAGAACCCAAGTTGCTTATGTGCTGTTATGCTCTCTAACACAGCCAAATTGTCTGGAGCAGACCCAAAGGTTGCCATAACCATCCCCAAACGTTGCAACCTTGCTAATCGCCCTATTGGTTACAAGTGTGGTCGTAAGTATAATTTTCTTTTTTTCTTTTTTTATAGTCTCTTTATAATTATGTTAGGATAAAATTGCGTATAAGAATTGCTTTCATCCCACATGTTTAGTCGCGGTTTAATGGAGATAAACTTTTTTTTAATTTCTCCCTCTGTTGTAGTTTTATCGAACCCATACTCAAATTCAAGACCTTTGATTAAGGATGACACATTCTTTATCAGTTAAATCAATAGTTATTGGTGTATAATTTATTATTTCTCACTATTTCCTATATACCCTTTTTCTTGATCTAACAACTAGTTCATTACTCTTATGAAATTGCTGATTTTGCAGCTTACACTCTGCCTTAAGAATGCTGTGAAACAAAAAGGACTGGGGGGCATAAAGGCACAACAGCTGTTAGTTACTAGTTACTAGTTACTGTGACTATAACTACGTTTAATTGTCCTTGTAACTTTCTAATCAATAATAGCTAGCAGCTCACTGGTGTACTTCCTTAATAAACATGCAAATTTAGTGTTTAATGTTCCTACACCTGTCTTCTATTTTTTATCTTGAAACATGTCAGAACATTGGAATTTCATTGACTTAGTAAGATGTGTAGGTAATCAACTGTGCTTATCTTAAAAAATCTTGAACATTATAGTTAAAAACAAAAAACGGTAAGAAAGAAAAAGAGACCAGACACAACTACCCCCTATGGTCAAGAGGCCTTGTTTGTCGCAACGTTGATGGATAAGGATGGGAGAAGGTGACATGTCAGAGTTTGGATGGGGTATAATCTGAGACTCAAAACCTTTCTGAGCTAAGATAAGAAATTGAACGGACACGTTAGTTAAAGTGGTGTTGGACAGGTTTCTACATAATTATACTTGATGGACCACACACCACATCCATATATGACCCATGTTAATTAAAGATATGATTCTTGCATGTAAGTTTTATGCAAATACTGTCATATACGAATCATTTACCATTTATATTGATGAATGAGAGAGGAACAGAAAGAAGGACACAGATAGATAGATGGTGATGATTTGGTTAATGTCAGTTATGTAAGTTGCTTTCTATATGCAACTAACATAACCCTTTCAGGAATATTTGATTGTTCCCAGTAGTGCAACATCTACACACATCACTGTGTAGCAATAAGGACTAAAGAATCTACACCACTTTTTTTTATAAGTTTTAGTTTCTCATGAAAAAGAGAAAGATAGATCATTGGCGAGTGAGCAAGTTTCAGCCTCGTTGATTTTCAAGAGTAAAGTTTACCAAAAAAAATGCGCATTATGCTGCTAACACGACCATATTCCCTGCTAAGATTCTTGTTGATAAGACAAATAAGACATGCTGAGAATCTTAGAACAAGGTATAGAGCAAGAACTCTTCCATATACTCATCAAATCTAAAATACAAAGCAGAAGGGAAACCAATGAATATTGTTCCAACTAAGGTGAATGATTTTTGTTGCAGCCACATAACAATTGTTGATACAAGTATATTTATCAGTAATCATAGCTTAAATACAAAATAGAGCGGAAACCAGTAAATATAGTTTTTTCCCATTAAATAAAATAAGAGTTTAAGCCACATGATTACATAAAATTCCTATAATATACTAATAGGAAGACCAACCCAATAATATTTACAAGAAAATAAAAGAAACGCATATGACCACAGATTCATATTATGATTCTGTCGTTTGGCCTGAGAAAACAACTAGCTGTTCACAATGTTCTGACTGCTTTATAGTTCTTCCATATAACATAAGATGCACTATACTGCTAAACTATCCTTCTACGAACCTGCAATATGCATTCAACTGATGAATGAATACCAAACACTAAAATCAAAATCTGAACATATAAAACAGAAAATAAAACTAAAATCCTACATTGTCAGATGTGTACCTTGAGGAGGAGCATGTGTCTTGGGAAGGGTGACCTTAGTAATACAGAGAACCTGTGGATAGAAAGTTAACAAGTCAGCAAAAGAATGAGAACATAATGAAAACCAGTTTCAGACCACAAATCTTATTAGACAGGTATATGTCATCATAATATACCTTGCCACCAGTTCCCTCTGCAAGCACTTCCTGAATCATCTTCTCCTTCATCATTCTTGGGCTGTCACACAAGAAATCAATGTTAGGTATTCCTGATACTAGAAAATAATTATTCACCAAATAAAATAGAATAAACTCAAATAATAAAAGTTTCTTGAGTATAATCTAGCTTAATCATGATCATCCACATATTTCTATTTAGTACTCATCATTTGTATTTTCAAGATTTGTATAGGAGTTAGCACAGATTAAAGAATAAGCCTGCCCCATGAATGGTGTTTACAAAACACATACATGTAGTCTGAAATTTGGTTATGTCCTTGATACAATTTCTGGAGATTTATAACACACACACACAAAATTGCCACTCACCAAAGTATTTAATCCCCCATTCTGTGTACTCTGAGGACTAAAATATATGTCCTGGCCACCATAATAGATTGATGAACTAAGGTGACATGGTTGAACTCTTTGTTCCTGATAGATGGAACTCATATCCTTATTTGTTGTGTTCTGAGCATCACCATCGTTGCTCTTGAAGATGTCATCTGTATTGACACCAAAAAAAGAAAAAAGAAAAGAAATAATATATCTAAAGTTATTAAAGAATTAGTCTTAAAGATACACAAGATATATTATTTAATACACATAAAAAATTAACCGATTAAATTTAATGGGACTGATCTAAAAAATTACAGCTACAAAGATATTTTTTAATGATCTTTTTCAATATAAAATAATAATTAGCCGTCAGGAGGATTAGGATGTTAGTGAATGGAATCAAGACCACTAACTATTAAGGGCGGTGGTCTTGATTAAGAGAGTTCAGAAAAAAATGGAAAATAGTGCCAATAGGAAATATGCTATATCTCCAAAAAATAAATAAAAAATATGCTATTATGTGATTTTGTCAATACTATATCTTAAAACGTTACCAAAAATTACACATACTTACCAAAATCTGTAAAACCAGAGGCTAAAAACAGAGTATCCTACCTTTAGTACCAAATTTGGAGCTCCATGTATCATTGGCAGTTTTGCCATTAAGTTCAGCGCGCAGAGATTCTCTCCCTAACACCTGAATAAACACAACCCAGAAAAATCTCAGAGCTGCTTCAACATGAAACGATATGCAATGAACTTGTTATATGATTCAACCCAACTTAAGGATCCAAAATAAGAACTTCAAAAGGTTTAAATGCTCATTGTCTATCTGCTTTGCAAAAAAGAATATAAATTTAGTGAAAGAGATAGCTAATAGAAAGGGTCAAACTTTAATCACAGCATAACCAATATATAACAAACATCATCAACTTAAACAAGAAATGCAGAGAAAAAAAAAACCAAGGGGTTTAACAAAAACTAAGCAAAAGCACAAAACAGAAAAAAGCTATAGAAATGAAAAACATCACCTTAGGCAATGGAGGAGAAAATATAGACCCGAAAATCCCAGAAGAAGAAGATGGGTGAGAATCTTTGGACCCAAAGAGCTCAGAAGTGAAGGAAGAAGAAGAAGAAGAAGTACCCTTATGCTTTCTTCCTTCCATTATTCTCCTATCACCCTAAAAACCTTTGTATCAAACTCAATAGCTTAACCCCTTCAACCAAAGTGAGAGTCTTTATATAGAGACAACCCCACAAAGATACATCAACCACCGCCTGAGAAAGTGCCTTAAAATGAGAAAAACCCAATTACGTTTTTTCTTGGGAAACAAACAGAACAGCAAGTTAAGATGAGAAAACGTAATAGAAGAGAATAGAATAAGAAGAAGGAAAGGGGTGAGGCACGTGAAGAGATCCCTCCTTAAAAAAAAAAAAAATAGACAGAGAGATACAGAGAGTGCGTGTGAGTTTTTTTTTCAAATGCAACGCTCGCTCATACCCATTTATAAGGCAGAAAATATGGCCTGTGATGTAAAAAGTTTCAACCTTTATCAATGTTATTATTAAAAATATTATTTTTCTTACTTTGGAATTTTTTTTCCTTTTCCTTAAACACCAACAAACCCGAGAGAGGAACTGAAAAGAAACATAAGAGAGTCCTTGTTACAGTGTCTTTCTTTCTTTCTTTCTCTCTCTACTTTTTTTTCTGTTTCTGTTTGTTTCACTTCTAGACTTCTAGTCCTTCAGTTGAACAAGAAACAGATTTTAGCCACCTGTGTCAGTGTGGGACCTGAAAGCAAATTCCAATATTTTACTGCCACGAGTGCTAGTGGATAATAACAGAAACCCCTTATATAGGCTTATACCCTTTTGTCCAATTTCCTCTAACTTAAGCTGCTGTTTGGTTTTTGGTCCTTTCATGTATTTTTTTTTAGCAACTGATTATAATTATATATTTTCTAAAAATATATAGTTATAGAAAAAATTATTCTCATGTTACATGAGTTAAGTTTTTCCTCTTATACATCATACGATAAATGTGTCACATTTTTTTTCTTTTATTTTTATTTTTCAAGTGATGGAGCCCACAAGTTTGTCTCTGTTACATAAGATAATTTATCTCTTTTAACATGATATTAATAAAACTCATAATTATAATTAAAAAATTACTTTTGTCTCTCTTGATGTTAGTAGATAACTTTTGGAAAAAGAAAAAAAATTTAAATTATAACTATATATTTTTGAAAATATATAGTTATAATTGGTTGTTGTAAAAAAAATATTTTGGCTGCAAGATAAGTAAAAAGGGACCCTTGGTTTTTTTACCCTTTTTTGTGTGACTTTTTCCTTAATGGGATTGGTTTGTGTCATATTGGTTCATTTTTTTGGTTTTGGGTGCAAATTATTATAGGCACACAGTTTGGAAACTATATAGACTAAAAAGTGAGAGGAGATGAAGAGGACCTCACTTAATCTAGCCTTATCTTGTTATCTTGTCGGAACCAAAACTGGGTCGGAACATAATTTGCTCTTCTTCACTCTACCTTAAAATGTTGAAATGACTCAGATTTGTTGCTCTTTTGAGTCATCGATAAAGTGAATTGGATTGGAAATTGGGGACTGGCTGAGTCATTTGTAGGAAATTGGATTGATAAGGACATTGGGTTTTCATTTGATGTGAGATAGACTCACAAAAAGAGAGACAAATGATAATATTGTTTAGCATATTAGATATTATATTTATACTCTTTTATGGTATTTTGAAATTTTAATTAGTAGATCATTTATATTAACATGATTGTTTATGTAAACGAATGAAGAGAAAGATTCTGTTTTTTTTTTAATTCGTTTACCTTTATAATATGATTTATTCAACTATTAACCCAACTATAACTTTAACTCGAGTGACATCAAGTCACTTATGTTCAGCAAAAGTTGTTATTTTGTATTGCAATTATAAAGCCAGAGATAGTTGAAAGCAAGCCGTGAAGAACATAAGTAGTTGAGAATAGATACCAATGGAGAAGGTTGAGGCCAAGCAATTAGCAAAGAAAGGAAAGAGAACAAGCTATGTTGAAATATCGCCGTTTAATATCATCTAAACTTTTATTTACTTAAAAAAAAAAAGAAAAACATTTGGCAGTAGTTATGAAAGGAGACAATTGAAAGCAAGCAAATTACCCGCTGCGCCAAAAGTAGAGATAAAAACCGAATGGAAAGTGTTTTATTTTTAGTAAACATAAAAGGTTTGTTATACATAAAAGTCGTCCCCCTTTAAAAGCATGTTCAAGTCGCGTCAGAATCCAAGATAAAATCTAGAGTTATGTGAGAGAAAGAAACCAAATGGAAAGTGTTTTATTACTTAAATGATTTATTAAATTCAAAGCTCTATTTAAAAACACGTTCGAATCGCACCAAAATTCAAGATAGAATATAGAACTATGTTAGAGAAATAAACGGAATGGAAAGTGATCTATTACATAAACATTCAAGTCGCGCCTAAATTCGAGATCGAATTTAGAATTGTATTAGAGGAAGAAACCGAGTGAAAAGTGTTATATAATATAATTAAACCTATTTAAACAAAATCTGGCTCCTCCGATAAGGAATGAAATGTAACATCTAATTGATATGATTCAAGGTCATAAAGCAGAGATCTCATTCCAAAAGATTAGTATAATATATGGAAGAGTATTTAGACTTGATTATCACATTGAGTGATCATAGGTACTTCATTATACATAACACTATATATGTGAACCAAATCAACTTTGCTTTGTGTATTCCATTTTTAACCAAAACTAGCACCCTGTTTTTTCTCTTCCTTTTTAGGTAAGAAGAAACACTTGTATGTTTTACAAGGATGGATGTGACCTTCGAATTGATTCTGAATGACACGTAATAAGGCTCATAAATGTTTTGGATAAGAAAGTGGTAATAGGATGCACTAATTGTGTTAATTAAGAATGGACCACGCGACAAGGTTTTTGGATAAAGAGAGATAGGCATCGTGAGAGTACTAGTCAAGATATTTATATATAGGAGATAACAGCATATATATGGACCAATGGAGTTCATTAAGAAAGTGGGAATAGGATGAACCAATTAATTAGTTCATTAAGAATGGACAATGAAAGAGGTTTTTGTATAAGGAGAGTAATGGGTCATCATGTGTGTATCTAAACTGTATTGGGATGCATTAGTCGAGATATTTAAATATAGGAGATAACAATATAGATATGGGACCAATTGGCAATAGTATCGAATGCAATACGAAGCACCAAAGATAGACATAAGAAATGCGATATTTATTAATTAAGAGTAGCATAAAATCAATGATAATTATATGGATGGTTAATTACTTAATTATAGTGGATAAGCAAATTAATTATGGCATTGGACCCACATAACAAATGTGGAAACAATAATAGAAGATGGCAAAATAAAGGTCCACATTTGTAGGCGAAGTCGTTGAGGTATAAGTAACTGCTCCCAGCTCATGCCGCCGCAGGCTAAAGGTTTGTCTCTCTTGCACTTCGTGCCAAATCTCAATGAGTTTTTTAATTAATAATTTTAAATCACTCTTTCTACAGATTTTTATAGGAGTAGGATATTATAACAACCAAATAAAGTTACAATCAATGTTACTATCAATCAATTACATCGTTAGATCGATTATGTTGATCCAACGGTTATATTTATTTTCATCTTTGTGTGATTATGATTCCTCATATTTAATACTTTATATTTATTTTCATCTTTGTATGATTATCATTTTTCATATTTAATACTTCCACTTTAAATGTGGGGAATCATAACCATACAAAAATGTAAATAAATATAACCGTTAGATCAATATAATTGATCAAACGGTGAAATTAATTGATAATATCATTGGTAGTAACACTAATTGATTGTTACAATATCCTACCCTATTTTTATATGACATAGGTGTGATTTTCGATTTTATATTTTTACATTGTTTTTGGGCGCGTCATATTTTCTATTTTTCTATTAAATTTAGTTTTTGTAGATTATATGGTGAAACTTATTTAATATCACAAATCAAATTACATAATTGATCAGTCATACTCAATGAATTTACAATCGAGTAGTTGAAGATTTATATTAATAATAGCGAGGGAGAGGCTCATCTGGATTAAAAAGTAAAAAAAAATAATGGTTCGAAACCCTTTGAAAATTTCGAAGGTTTACTCGAAATAATAGAATAAAGCAATAGGAAATAATTAAGCTCGATTATCAAGGAGTGAGGGAGAAATAAAATTTGGACAAATGTGATCCATCACTTATAAATAAAAAAATAATTATCGAATAAAGTGGCTGTTAAAAAGGAAGTATATCGAACGTGTTCTAATGATAATGGTTGTGACATAAGTATGGCCCATATCATCTACCAACAATAACCTAGTAACAAATTAAGATGGAGCAAACATTTCAAATACTAGAAGATAAGATCTATCATCTTATCTTGAATGGTATGACTCTCATCAAGACTCTTAACATTTCTATAAATAATGGATTAAGTTTCGATCATATATTCACAAATCCAATTTTAAATGAAACTGCTGTGCCCGAAAAATAATTGTTAAGAGAGAGAGAGAGAGAGAGCAACAATTTACCATCATCCCAAGATCCATGATCCATCGGTGTGAGAATATTTTTCAGCCTTAACCGGCAGGGCCACATGAATAAGTGGATTGAGATATGACTTATTCACGGGCCAGTGGGTATAATAAGTTTTCCTTATTTTAATTATAGATTTTTTTTTGGTACAAAATTTTTTTTTTTACTAAGCAGGTCTAACAACATTGATGAAATTGCCAAATGGCACTTGTTGTAAAATTAGCAAGAGACGCTAACGCAAGTTCACCGTCTGACAATCCCTAGTCATCCCTTGACGCTAAGCCGTTGCGATCGTCTCACAAATCTTGTCGTTTATTGTGTCTATGTTTGAGATTAAAGGTTTTTGAAAAGAAAGAAAAAAAATAAGAGAAAATAAATTTTTTATTTCAAGTATGTTTTTATTTTTTTATCATTTAAGAACTTTTTGAAATAAAAGAAACAAATAATATATTTGATCAGTCCAACAGTTATTGGACTAGGTCTAATCATACACGATTGAAGATGAATAATATTGATGAAGAGAATAAAGGTTGAATAGAGTTTTCCCAAGATGCTGGGTTGCTTTGTGAGTTGGAAAAGTCGTGAGATTGATGTCTGAACAATTTGAAGGAGATTGGATGGAGTACTTATAAGGCATTTTGATGCTCAAGCCAGTTTAGTATTCAATATGATTTAAGTATTTAAATAAAGATATCTTATCTACTAATTGCCTATGTATTTATAGTGTACACTGCCCCGTTTCGTATTACCTTTCATTGGGCGATCTTCATTCTTATTGGGGGAGATGGGTGGTCTTTTACAAGCTATTCCTTGGTTGATAAGCTTAAGGTGGGGCTAGTTTCAGTAGATGTGGTGATAAGTTGGTGCTGCCATTCATTCATTGGTTTCAGGTGATGGCCAAGTTGTCTAAGCTGTTGATCTCGACAACGATGTTTCCTTTCATTTTAAGTTATTTTGGCTTGCTAGCCAAGCAAGTGAGATTTTCATGCTTTGTACACGAGATGAGTTGCCTTGTTGGTCAAGCTTGTTGGTTCTTATCAATTTGGGCCTCCACCTCGCATA